GGTTCAAACCCACCAGCCACTTCTCGGAAGGAAGGCTGGGCAATCCTACTTCCATAGTGATACTGCCTCGGAAACCCAAGGAGGGGTCGCTATGAGTCAGGGCTGACTCTCGATGGCACATAACAACAACAACAACAACAGGAATGATCATGAGATGTATCTAGTGTCAGAGATCTTGATTTGGGAATCACCCCATTTGTATGAGTCACAGAAGTAGATAAATTAACCCAGAGAGAATGAAGATTATCAGAAAGACCTTGGCTTGGGGGTACAGTCTGGAAGAGCACATTTTTAAAGAGACAGTATGAAGCACAAAAGTCCACAAATGTAATTTAAAGAATGACCAAACAGGAAGATAAAGACTGAAGCTTCAGAGAATCCAAGGACATCAACACTGTCAAATGATGCAAAGGTCAGGAAAGATAAATAAGACAACCTATTTATAGGCAGAGATAAACTGATAAGAGAAATTCTTCACCCCCCTCCCAAAAGACCACATGATGGAAAGACAATGGATCAAAGGAATTAAGGAGAATAGTTCAATGGACTCTAGAACCTAAACTGGGTAGGTAAGAAGGTAAAGATCAGGGCCTGAAGTGCACTTTCTGTTTGAAGATTAGGTGCTGAGGATGTAGTGTTCAGAAAATAAAATATTTTCAAATTTAGTTTTTCACTAATGAGAAGTTGTGAAAGATAAGACCTGCAGGGGAGCCACTATAATTAGCAGCTCATGAAGAATAGAAGAGAAAGTCACTGGACATGAGACTAAGGGACTAAGAGGTTAAAGTGTTGGTTCTGAGTCACTTAGTAGAGTTAAGGTCATTTAAGGTGATGATAAAATGAGATATAATGGAAGACCATGAATTAGGTGTTACATGATTTAGTAATTGATGGGGACAGCCTGGAATGGTAGAGAAGTTAGAAAATTACATGGTCTGTCCAAAGAAACAGAAGCTTTTACATAAAGCAACAAGGAGTAAGGAGAACACTAACCTCACCAGCCAATCTTACAGGATGAGATTATAGGCTCCATTTCAGAGAGCTACGTGAGGAGAGGTATCTTCAGAAAAGAGCAAGCTTTCAAAGAAGGGACTAGAAGCATATGGCCAAAATGGGTAAGGATGTAAGTGAGATGTTTTCCACTAACTGGGGAACAAGAGGACGTAACTGGAAAGTTTGGGAGGGAGAAGAGTGAGAACTTAGATAACAAAAGAGAGAACTATACAAGGATGAGTGTGAGTGGGAACAGAGGATTTAAGGAGGTTACATCTTGGATCGTGACCAAGGCTATATGTGAAGCATGGAGGGGAGAGGGCTCCATAAGCAGGTAAATGGTCCTACAGACAAGCAATGTAAGAATAAGGGAAATTCATGAAGGTGAAGCGTGACAAAAGGATTGGAGCTCAACTTAATATTGCTTTTCTAGTGGATATAATAAATGCTCAGAAAAGCTCAGAAAGTTTTAGGTATATACCACTAACTCAAACGTTTTTAGTAATCACAACTTATCCATACTTTAACTTTCCTATGCATTAGTGGAAGATAGGGAGTTACACAGAGCTTCATTATTGCCTACATATTTTTCTAGATAGAAAAATGTAATATAATAAAAACTTCATGAATTTAGGGAGACTATACAAAACCCTAAAAAAATATGCATTATAGCTTTTCCAAGAAATCTAGTTTTATTAAGAATGCTACTCATTAATAAATATAAATATTTATACTAAAAAGCAGAGATAACCTGGTAGCTGTAAATGCATTATAATAAAAGGAATCAAGATTTAAAAAGGTTAAGTTATGTACTTAATTAAGGAAGGTTTTCTAGTACCCCTGAAACAGTCACTTGATAATTTTAATGTAACCAATCTTTGAATGTATAACACTGTAGTAATATAGGAATATACAATGGAAGTTTGGACCAAAAATTTGATATTTAATAGTAAGTTAAAGTTTCTATGAAGTCTAAATTTCAAATCATTGGAAAAATATTTAACATTTATTTGTACACCAAATGTTCACTATACGTTAAATACTTTGTTAACTGCTGAGCACACAGGAATAAAAAATAATTATTAGTTGCCAGTTATCTAATGACATGCAATTGAGTAAATCCTCAATGTAGTAGTTCTTCAGTTTAAAAAGACCTCTTTCTTTTACACTACATTTTTCATATAAAGCTTTGAAAATGTAGGGTAATAATGCAAACTGATTTGAAATGATGTGTGAGATTTTATAAACTCTAAATTGAGTAATTTGAATTTTCAATTTTTTACTACGTAGAACATTCCTAAAATGTTTTCATATAATTCTTAAAAAATAATAACCACAACTGCAACCACTGCCATAGAGTCGGATCTGACTCACAGCAACCCCTCCTTGGGTTTCCGAAACAATATCACTACAGAAGTAGATTGCCCAATCTTCCTTCCGAGGAGTGGCTGGTGGGTTTGAATCACCAGCCTTCTGGTTAGTGGTCAAATGCCTTAGGCACTACGCCACCAGAGCTCCTTAAAAAATAATAGATACACTTATTCTAAGGCTAAATTAGTAATCAAGTTGATTTCGACTCATAGCTACCCCTTTTGGGTTTCTGAGGTGGTAAATCTTTATGGAAGTAGATTGCCCAGTCTTCCAGAGTGGCTGGCGGGTTTGAACCACTAACTTTCTGGTTAGCAGTCAAATGCCTTAGGTACTATGCCACCAGAACTTCTACTACTAGTAATCAACCCACATTTAATGAAATGAATTGCATTATAATTTTTCTTAGATAAAAATGTAGTAAAATATCATATACAATGGTATTATCATAGTAAGAATCAAGTTGCTCTTATCAAGATGACATATAATAATTTATATATAGAAACAAGTTAGGACAAAATACTCACATGCCAAGCTCCACCAGGAGGACCTTTACCAAGAACTAAGTGAGGGATATAGTGATGTTGTTCTAATTTCCAATGCAAAACAGATGGATAATCATAACCAAAGTCAGCATCTGGATGAAGAAGTGTATCAAAAAGTACTGCAACTGGATTAGATGATCGGCCCTCAAGGCCTTCAGACAAGTATTCTAAGTCCTGAATTAATTTAAAAAAAAAAAAAGGCAGATAGAGTTTAGAAAAGGGACAAAACAGGTATGATAATAGTGAAAACCATTACTCTAAGCCAACATTTCCTTGAAATCTTGATAGAGATTCTTTGGACAAATCAATAAGGAAAAGGCAGAGTTTCAACAAAGCTAACTAGAGCTTTGTACTGTAAAACATCAAGAGCCTTCAGTATCTGAATGTCTACTGGGACACTTCAGTAATAAAAAGAAGCATTTCCCAAGCTGGGGCACCTATTAAAAATCTATCAGGAAATAATTTGAGGAATTCTGCTCTTATCAATTTAAGAAAATCAACAGAAGTGATTTAGTAAAAGATATTTATTAATCTAAAATAATATAGTGGAAATGGAAAGTGTTAATTCAGAATAAAGGATTTGCAAGTAGAAACATAATACTTATATAAATATGATATTAATCTTGTTCTCTTGTTGTTGTTATGTGCTGTCGAGTCAGACCTGACTCACAGTGACCCCTCTTTGGGTTTCCGAGGCAGTATCACTACGGAAGTAGATTGCCCCATTTTCCTTCCAAGGAGGGCTGGTGGGTTTGAACTGCCAGCCTTCTGGTTAGCAGTCAAGTGCCTTAGGCACTATGCTACCAGAGCTCCCTGTTCTCTCATTAAAAAATTAAAATAAAATGATATGTAATAAATACCTGATCAACAATGGAAAGATGTCTTGCTTCTTCTAATTTACTAAGTAAGACTGTATTTGGATGTATTGCTTCTGATGATAAATATGGTCTGTAGCCTGATAACATATAGGAAAGGCAAATCCCTGATGGTCCATTTCCTATTAAAAAAAAGTAATAATAATAACAAAAACAAAAATGATGATGAGGAGGACAGTACGGGTCTTAGCACTCTTGTTCTTTGGCTTTTCTCCTATTTCTTCGATGGTTTTCATACATTATCCTTCCTTAATCTCTTAAAACCAGATTATGACCTTTACCTTCTCCTCTCCTGCTTTCTGTTGGGAGTTTAATCTACTCAACGCCTCAACTTTCAACAATTCAAGACTCTCTATGGTGTTGACTTCCAAAATTATATGCCTAAGCTGACCTCTTTCCCAAAAACATATCCTATATTTCTTTATTCCACCTGACTGACCCAGTAATAATGGAAGCAAAATCATGTTTACAAGCAAACCCAAGAGCCCTCTTCTTTAAACCCCTCAGGAAAGCATGATACTAGCAACCTCCTAAGTTAATCAGGTGCAGGTTCTAAATCTATTTAGATATTCAGATTTTTAGATTCAGATTTTAGATATTCAGATATTTAGATTCGGTCAGTTGTCTTTGTTATTCTCCCTCCTGTACCTTCACCAAGACCAAAGTCTGCTTCAATTTTTCCTCCTCAAGATGCACCCACTCCTCAATCACTCTATGTAATACATTCTGAGGGTTTTGGTAACACACCCAAACAGCCTTTATCATGTTACCTCTCTGTATGAAAGGTCTTAAATGCTTATTTTTGATTACCAGTGTTCTCTCCACATTCTGGTCTTAACCGTCTTTCCAGCCTCATCTCCTGATAGTGCTTTCCGATAGGTTTATATCTTTAATTAAAACCAAATTGGATCTCTTGTTGATCTTTGTAAGTTTTCCTACTTCTGTTTATGTATAGGTAGTCTCTGACTTATGATGTATTCTAGTTATGATGAACTGCACTGACAACTATCATTATTTATTTTTGTGTATCTTATCATTAGTAATAGATACTACATACAATGTTGCAAAGC